TCCCCCCCCCCATCCTTTCATCACAGGTTTTTTTCGGCCTCATCCCTGTCACCGTTTCTTGGGCCTCCAGCCCTGCACAAAGTCCAGAATCTTCTTCAGCTCCAGCGCGTTGAGCTCCGGGAAGCCCTCCTTGAGCAGCTTCTTGTCCAGGGTACACAGCATGTTCCCGTCTATCTGCTCGTTGGAGAAGCGCAGCACCACGCGATCCTTCATGCCGATGTAGCGCAGAGACTTGGACACTTCCTGCACGCTCAGGCCCTCCACGTTGTCCGGCGGGCTCCAACCGTCCTCCGTGACGTCACGAGGCGGTTCTTCTGTGTACTCGCTGTAGCTGTACTCGCTCTCGTTGGGGAACCCGCCCTCGCCACGAGAGCACATGGAGATGGCCGAGTCGTCGCCGTGCTGCACCAAGTTGTCGCTCATTACGCCGCCCATGGAGCGGGGGTTGTGGTGCTGGTGGTGGGGGTGGTGGGGGTGGTGGTGGCTGGGGCGGAAGCACGGCTCGCTCTCCGCGTAATGCATTCCGTACCCACCAGGTCCGTAAATGCTCTGCTGCTGCTGTTGTTGCTGTTGTTGTTGCTGGAGGTGATGATGATGATGTGGCAGGAGAGGGGTCATCACATTGGCGTCCATAGAGCGGCTGTTGAGGAGCGGGGGTCGGGAGTTTTGTGCTGGGTAGTAATGTTGTTGTTGTTGTTGTAGTGGTGGTGGAGGTGGCGGTTGTTGTGGGTGGTCGTAAGGGTTCTGGTGGGGGTTGTAGCTGTTCTGGAAGTCCACGGGCGGCCCGATGATGTGCTCAGTGCCGGAGTCCCCGTGACGTATGTCTCTGAAGGAGTCGGAGAAGTGGAACACTTCCATCATGCTGGGCCGCATCTTCCGCAGGTTGTGAGAACGAATTGTGGCGTTAGGATTAGCGTTCATGTTCCGAGCTTGCTTTGACCTATATCTCAACCCCTGCTGGTGACCTCTGGCCTCTAGGTCAAGGTTATCCACGAAGCGCTGGTCGAAGTGGGTGGACACTGAGGGTGGGAGGTCGGATGTCCAGGCAGGAACGCGAGACGCGCCAGGCCCGTACAGCTGTGACGTGCTGATGGCCTGTTGGGAGCCCAGAGATCCCAGGGGCCGGTTCTCCCCAAACTCCTTAGAGTTGTACGCGAAACTGAAGAGGTCGTCGATGTCCAGCGGGCAGCCGTCGTCTTGATCTCGCATGCGGTGAGCGAACTCTGACGGCAGCTCGCTCCTCGCTTTCCTCGCTCGGGAGTAGCGGAGAGACTCGTGTCCGGCGGACGACGGCGGCTTTTGACGGAGGACGACGTCTGACCTTTTGCTGTAGCGCTCCCTCTCCCGCTGCTCCCTCTGCACCTGCATGGGCACCATGTAGCCGTCCTCTTCGTCGTCTTCCTCGTGGTCATCAGGATGAGTCATCATGCCGAGAGGCGCCATGGACTCGCTGGCACGCCGGGAGCTGGGGGGCTGCGGGGCGGGTGGAAGGTGCTCGTACAGGGACTCTTTCGACTCGTTGTGGTGGTACGGCGATGAGTTCTCATGACCTCGCGGCGACTCGGGCGGGATGGGAGGCAGGTCGCGGTTCTGGATGCTCTGCCGGCGTTGTACGAGCGAGGAATAATCGCTGCCCTTTGATCTCTCGGAGCCCGTGCTGCGCTGCCCCTCGCTACCGCCCTCGTAGACGGAGCTTTTTGGCGAGGAGGGGTTACTCTGGTAGGTGCTGCTGCTACTGCCGCGCCCCGAGTCGTCCTGCTTGGACGTGCTGCTCCTCTCGTTCTCTTTCGACGCTCCTTCTTCCTCTTCACCGTCCAAACCGTTAAAGAAGTCCTGATAGCTCAGATCGTTCCGAACGATCTTTTTGGAAAACACGTCCTCTCCCCTGAGAGCTTTGAGCTTTGCTCGCTCTTTCCTCACCTTCCGCACACTCAACTTGTCTAATATTCCGGTGGATTTCGACTTTTTCAGCTCCTTCGACCTCTCCGGAAGCCCGATCTCTGTGTTTGGCTTCTGCTCCTTGTCGGGAGTTTTTTCTAGAGACTTTTGATGTTCCTCTACAGAGGCTGAGACAACGCTCGTATCGATTGTCGTGTTTGCACTCCCGGTAGAATACGTGGACGACGTCCCTGACTCTCTTGGAGGGAGGACGGGTACGGAGTTGATCACCTGACTAGCTCTGGTTTTGTGGGGCTCTCTGTACGTGTCCGGACTAGCAGCCGGGTGGGCGTGGCTACCGTAGCTGGCCATGACAGGCGCGGGTTTGTTGGAGACTGGCGTGGAGAACCGTCGGTCTGGGTTGACACGGGGTTTGAACTCATCCACAGTCGTCGCTCGCACATAGTCCTTGTCTTTGCTTTCCCTATCACTGACTTTTGCGCTACCACCTACACCACTCCCCACTCCTCCGCTTTTATCCTTACTCCACGGGGAATGAAACACCTCGCCTAGCTTGGCTTTTATTGCTGGTTTCTTCTTCACAACCCCGCGAGAAAACGCCAAGTCTTTGTCCACGGGAATCTCAAACTTGTCGCAGCTCGCCGTGTCGCTGAACAGCGCACCGCTCGACCCCACCCGACTGACGATGGCCAGCTCCTCCTCCCTGGTGCCGTACAGCCGCAGCACGCCCCGCGGGCACGGGAACGTCTCCTTGCTGTTGGTGTGGATGAGCTGCGCGTTGACCGGGAGCCCGAAGGCCATGATGAGATCCTGGAGCTCGAACACGGCGTCGTAGTTGGCCATGGTGGCGTCTCCGACAGGGCTGAACACTCCGGACATGATGAGCGGAATCATGATCTCTCTCCCATCCGCGTCGAAACACTGGAGGTACTTCAAGTCCTGCTCCTTCTTAACCTTGTTCTGTTTGAGGAAGCGCTTGAAGATGTTCCTCTGCGTGGCGTTTTTCGTCTTCTTGTTGTCCATGTAGATGATGCCTGTGGTGAGGACCTCTCCTGGACGTATCTCGCTGGGCATCCAGCAGCTCGTGCCGTTCTCCTCCGTGCTCAGCTGATAGCCCACGGTGGAGGTTCGAACCAAGAACCTCCGCGGCTTGACGCTGGTGATGCCTCCCACGGTGTCGAAGTACTCCACCGGACGGCCGTCGTCAGGGACAACCTCCAGCCACCCTGGTGGGAAAAATAGGGGAAGGGGTGGGGGAGGGGGAAGAGATGTTAAAATTTGTGATAGGGGATGGGATTGTTTCACTGCTGCTGCTGCTGTTGTTGTTGTTGGTGGTGGTGTTGTTGTTGATGTTGTTGTTGTAGTTTTTTTTGTTGTTGTTTTTGTTCTTCTTGTTTTTGTTGTTATTATTGTTATTGTTGTTTTTGTTGCTGCTGCTGTTGTTGTTGTTGTTGTTATTGTAGCTGTTGTTTTTGTTGTCGTTGCTATTGTTGTTGTTGTTGTTGTGTGTGTGTGTGTGTGTGTGGTAGCCTATCCGTTCGAAATGTTCGGAGCCCCGAAGAGTGTTGTTGTTGTTGTAACTGCTGTAAAAACATCACGAAGAACTGGTTAAAACAAGACAAAGCGTGGATGGACAATTTAAGGAGAAAATAGACAAACCAACACGCACACGCTGGCAGATTTCCGGAAATCGGATGACCCATTTAATCCATTTTAAGCTAAATGAGGGGATAAAGGGGAAAGAGGGTCGGGGGGGTTGCAGCGTGCAATCGATTTTATCGAGACGCGTTGTCCTTCATTTAGGCGTACATGTATACTGTATAATAATGGCACTGCACATGATACGCACGCGTTGTAGCGAAGTTTTTACAGCGAAAGAAGACTGGTAGCCATGATAGTGCACGATCTAAGAGTGCAAGTTTATGGATCATTCAGACGTTCCCAAGGTTATGAGGGTCAGACAGACATACTCGCACGTCACAGATACAATAAGTTTTAATAAAAATTCAAGCACTAAGCACAACAACACTTCGAATAACGAACAGATACTCCTGGAAACACACTCGACACACACCTATTTTTTATTTTATTTAGCATGTTCTATGACTTTTGCAAACTTTTTTTGGGGTGTAAATATCAAATCAATAACGGCGTCGCTTGCCTAATGGTTAGGGTACTGAGCCCGTAATCGTGATGTTGCGGGTTCGGGGGTTCGAGTTTCAGCTCGGTCCGACGTTGTGTTTTTGGAAAAGACACTTTACATGAATTTCCCATTTGGCTCAGTCCTTTCGGAGATAGATGGACGTTAAACACGGCGGTCCCGCCTCTTAAATGACCTAATAGTGTTGATAGGGGCATTAAACCGATACCATTTCACCATTTAAAAGAAAATCAATGTACATAGACAACTTTTAACGACATTTTCATACAAATACTAGACCGATAAGTCGACGAAGCCTTTCAGAAAGTTTTTAGTAAGCTTTTTACGGCACTTGCAACACAAATAGGTCACATAAGTGACGAAGATTAGAGGCAGAACTAGGGAGCAACATACAAAGAAAAGAAGAAGGAGAGATAAAGACGACAGATGTTTGATAAGAAAGAAGGAGCAAACCACACCAAAGCAACTGCCAGTCGCCGACATCTCTACAGTCGGATGTAATGAATCACTAGTAGAGATATACGCATACGAAAACATTTTGACAGTGGCACAAACACATACACAGGAGTCCGTAACCAGAGAAGTGCTAGCACGTACAAGACTCAGTCCATGTAGAAAGGTAAACACATTTCTGAAGAGTTGTGACGTCAACATGAAAAAAAGCCAAGTTCGCGACAATCCAAGCGCGGTACAACAACACTAATTGTTTGGTACTCTTTGTTGTATGTTAGTTAGCTCACTTCCACTTTTGAATTACACTTTAACATTTTGATAAAATTCTACATCGATCTTTGAAATGAATAATCTGAGACATCCAGAAACAAAAAGCAAATCAATATTTTTGTTCCTTTTTGGCAGAAAGACAAACTATAAACAGATTTAACAGTTTGGTTGGAAAAGAGAGAGTAATAATAATATATGAATAGATATCTCTGTACAGAAGGCCCACATTTCACACACAGCTGGAAAACTTCGACTGAACCCCACAAGATGATGTCTCGACCATTTAAGTCGCGCGACATGGACGAGGGAAGGAAAACAAAACATGACCATGATGGCAACGCCCATGGACTCGCCAGTATCCTCTGCCAAAACAACAACCTTGAACCTGATTTATGAAAAAGGACAAAATGAAAGATCGTTTAAAAATGACCAAATCGACGTTTTTAACAACCGGCGATCTTCAACTCAGTTCGGTGCGATCTGTTAATGAAGAGCGAGTTTCTATAAAGAGATGGGAGAGAGTTTGTTTTAGCGTTGACTTCTACCGTAAAAGGGACAAAATGACAGGAGTCCACTCTCGTTGGCCGAGTGTGAGAAAAGGACTGCCCAAAGGACTTCGTTGGAGAAAAGATGCTCGCTTGTGTGCCAAGGGCGACAACTTGCAAACACATAAGCTTAGCCTGCGTCTTTTCGCGCCAACAAACATCAAATCTTCAAGACCTGGGCAAGGGAGGTCCGGGGCAGACCCTTGTGCCTGTTGAAAACTTTCTCAGCGAAGCCAAAGTCAACAGAATTTGATCGGATTAGCGTCTTCGCTACCGGATCATCACGTGGTGGTATAGAGACGGCGGGATAGAGAGTTGTGCTTTGGGGATGGGGGAGGAGAGGGGGACGTGGGGCTGGA